GCACACCACTGCACTGCGCAGGGCTTCAGACAGTCATCAGGGTGCCCTAGGTCAGTGTGTGTGCAGAGTGCACATTCTTTGTGTGTGTGAACACATTTTTGACAAGGTGACTGTGCTTTTGTCTTGCCATTACCTCTCGCTGATCACATATTTTCTGCAGAGGATGGAGATAAGATTTTGCTACGGGTAAAGCCACCTCTGTAAGCTAATGAATCAATGATTGAGCCAGTGCAGAAAATCAAAATGCTGTCACTGCAATCAACACAGTAGAACTGTGTAAAGATGAAAATTTCACAGATATCCAAGTCTGGTCTCAATTGAGCCAAAACTCAATCCAGGGACCCTGATGATGCGTCATCTGTCTCTCTCTACACACACCACCTCCCCTCAACTCACCATGTCCCTTGGGTGCGTGGTGCTGACATGTCACACAGTGGCCTTTGTTCTCTGCCTGCTTGCCTTTTTCTGTCTTGTCCTGCTGCACCACACTCTCCATTCTTATCTCTGCCATGTCTCTTCAAAGGAGGGAAGCGCAAGGAGGGACAATAGAAAACTTTGGCAAGTAGTACTACACTCTTGTGACAGCAATGGTTCGCAATACATGGGTTTGTCTGCAGTTGCTATGAATATTATCATGTTTCTTTAGCATTCAGTCAGAACTGGTAGCCTTTCTATGCACAGAATTGACCGACATTGTATTGTATTGTACAGTATGTCCATTGGCCAGCAGGCGATGTGTACATGTGTACAAGTGTACTACCCTTCTATGGCACTGAGAGATGGGATTTTTTATCAGACAAAGTTGTGAGCACAATGTTGATATAATCATCACCTTTTAAGGTGATATGGTGAAGCTGTTAGCAAACGGTTGCTTATTTACACATCCAGCAGTTACTAAGCATCAACGTATTTCTGTGCACCCAGTTAGTCCAATATTCACTAACTTTTAGCTCTGTTTTGTTCTTTACCAACTCTTTTTTATCTCTTTAAGATCTCCATCTTTCTCATACACAAACACCTGACCATAAATCACAGTGTGCATCAAAAGTCCTATTTGTCACTGCTGTCTCAGTGTTGCTCTACGCAACTGTGTGCCAGCTGACCTGCATTTTGCTGACCACGTGCAATTCCTGGACTGTCTTTGGCATTTCACCCGACAGACACTCCTCGACTATGCAACCAATTGCCTCCTCCACCACACAGTCCATTTTTGACCCTGTTCCTCCTAGCCTTCATCCCTCAGTCTCAACGCTCTAAATTTAGCTCAGGTGAACCCAACACTACAACACATGTGACTAGGGGTTTAACATGTGTCCTCCTCCAGATTCAGCCTATTAAAAAAAACCTACAAATAGGGATTTAGGTGTCTGTATTGTATCTTCACACTGTATTTATATACAAACACACTCATGCCACTCATGTTAACACTTTTATGAGCTGCAACCAGATGACACGGCCTTGACTAAGCTCAAAGGTCAAAATGGCACCCATAAACATGGGACGAATGTGAAAGTAAAACTGCGACCATACAAAAAACAAGATGGTAGTCAACAATCAAACACAGGCAATTACTATCTTTAAAACACTTTAAAACAGTACAAAGTCTATATTTTTCCAATGACCTATTTTTCCATGTTTAACACAGTTTCATATGCTTATAGTAATTTAGTCTTTAGTCGGAGGTCATGAAGGACACACATATAATTTTGTGACATATTTTCACCTCATTTACCAGAGACCTAAAAAGCAGGTGCAGCTATTAACATGTTATATATACACACAGCTAAATCTGTGTAGATTAGAATTTTTTTGTTCCAATTATTTTCAGTTGACAGATTACAAAGCTGTTTGTCTTCTCACAGAGAACCAGTGTGTTACATCAACTCTATAGAAACAACTTGTAGAAACAAAAGGTTACTATTAATTCTTATGAGGCACCATTTGTGCAGAAATTATGTCACATGCCATGTGACATGTCCATGTGACTGAACATGAACATGTGTCTATATCAGTTCAACTTTGAACTGTACTTCAGTTGTGACAAAACTATTTTGACAATCAGCATTAGTGTTATCCTTTGCAGTCCACATCTACAGGCAATTTAAAGGCACAAGTTAACCTATTCATGTGCAAGTCTTTGAAAGCCAGAGCACCAACAGTTAACCTATAAACCTGCATGTCTTTGAAAGCTGGAGCACCTGGAAAAAACCTTCGCTGACAAAGGGAGAACATGTAAACACAACAAAGAAAGGTCTCAGTCCCAATCACAACCTAGGCCCCAGCCTTCTTGCTGTGGTGACAGTGCTAACCCGTGCTCCACTGTTCAATGCGTGTTAATATAAATTGAACAAAAGCCACCAACTTCTTGTATTTATAAGTGTTTGTTTGTGTCTTTACTTAATAAATGGCTAATCAAGCATGGAAATTGGTATTGTTTATTCATCTGTCTTACTATTTAGACGACTCTTAATTTTAACAATAAATTTGACATTTATTCAATAGTTGAATTTAGCAGTTTAATATGACAAACAGTGATAAGAGACCCCTTGCAAATCAACAGATTCTCAACAAGAAACCTATAAATTGTGTAAACATGCAGTTACCCAAACAAACTGGCTGAAACTTCCGATAAGGTGATATCAAGGCAAGAGTGTTTGGCATATAAGGGAGGAATGTGTGGGTGTGAAATAAGGTCAAGTGTAGTCAAGTTACACTAAGACAATTTATAGCTTGAATGTAAAGTGCATGAGGTTGTAATGGATTTGTTCTGTATATTAGAGTCCAGTCCAGTGTTGTTTCAAGGTGTAACAGGCTACTGCTGTGTGTATGCACCTGTTTACCAGTGGGCTTGGGTCATGTAATGCTTGCTGCATCAACCTTTGTTGTTATTAATGAGGTTTTTCACCTCTGACAGTCCTGCGCTTGATCAGCAGGCCTAATTTCAGGACTTCCGATAGCGACATTCTTAAAAAGCCAATAAATTACCCCAATTTCCTACCAATTTTTAAAACCGTTATATTAACATTAATGTAGGTCTGACATACACTTATTCCGCTCCAAGCTGACCGTGATGTTGAATTTGCCTAATGAACACCACCGTGTCTTAGTAACACTGAGCAGACTTTGCAATTACATAGGAAGGAGCGCGCATACAAGTGGCAACGCCAAAAGATAACTGTTCTTGTGTAGCTGTTCGTGGACCTTGTGCTTTTTCACAACCAACCAGATAAGACGTTTTAACAAGATTTCTGGCATCACGTCGCCCTGTCCCATAGGTGGACGAGTATCTTTATTGGTTTCTATTGTCCGTGCGTCTGTAAGACGTCTATTGTCTGCTAGGGGGGTTGCCATTTCTGGGACAGATAACTTTTTCATGCACAAAATCTTTTTTTCAGTTATTACATTCTTTAGGGTGCACCGCAAATGTAAAATATGCTACTTTTACATTTATCGTGTCCCCAATCGGTCATCACATCTCGCAAATACGTTTTTGTCTGAATAACTGCCACTGTGGGGAATAATTTTCAGACAGTTTGCAGTTGTGGATTTTAGCGAACTAATGGGACATACAGTACTGGCCTAGACTGGCATTTAAACCCTGGTACAGCGTGCCCGCTGCCGCGCCCCCACCCCTTTATGTGTGACTCATATCTCACTGACAGTCCAAACGACAATTGACAACAGCTAAATTAAGCTACATGGACATAAAGCGACATATTACATAAACTTATTAAAGTTTTTTTTAAGTTAGTTATTTCTTACCTTTATTTATGGGGCGGAGCGTGCAAAATTTCACAACGCTGTTCGGTGCAGCGGGACCATAGACTGTGTAGACTAGCAGGACACAGTGAAGGAGAAAGCAGAGACAAACGGACTGGGCAGGCGCAAGTCAGACCTCCGGACCGGCAGAGGGCGGGGCCGTTGTGCAATTGACATTGAGCGAACAATTTATCAGTACACTGTTCGTAAAAAATATAACGTGGTGGCTGTTTAATTTGGGATAGGCCGATCTGTCTAATATCACTCAAATATTCCAATGACATTCATGGAAAAGACGTTGATAGTTTTATTATAAGACTATTCATACAGCTGATATAAAATAATGTGAGATTAGGCCTATTACCCTGATGCATTTCTCCACATCTGGATCTGCAACTGCATCTGGGCTACTTATTCCACTAACTGTCAGTAAAAATAAAGCTTGTTTAGATTTGTCTAAGATGAACCAAACAATCTTTCAAATGAGTTGCTGCACTCCATTGAGTTCAACACGTGGGGACTTTGTTTACAATGCAATCACTGAAATACCAGAATTATATTACATATATTATGCCATATGGAAAATCTTAATTTGTTTGTGGTGTAGTAAGACCTAAAGACCGCCCGGGGGCAATTACCTCTACCTAATAATATTGGTTCAGTATGCCCTGAAGGAGGCCTTTCAGGCAGACCATAGACTCAGAGTGTTTACAATGTAACTTCGCCGCACGCTCCAGCAATCAAATGCCCATGTTTTCATTAAGATTAGCAATAAGATTAGGTCGCTAGTTAGAGTTTGGGTGTGGCAGTCGTACTGAATTAGGAAGGAGGTCTTTAGTTATCCCGAAAGGAAAAACTCAGGGAAAAGGGAAACATACAACAGGAGCCAGTGGGATTACAACAGAAATATACCTGCTAGAAAAGACTGCTCCAAAGACAGCGGGAACACAGCTAAACACCGGCTTCTCAAGACTAACTACCCATTAAATCATGGCGTGTTAGTTATGTTTTAGGCCTATATCATCCTTAATATTATTATATTATTACTACTGTAAGCTAATTATTTCATCACTTTGTGGCTAGTGTCCAAAACTATAATGCGCCACAATTTGTACCTGCGCTTATAGCGAAATAATTGGCAGTAACACACTATTGGCTATTGTTAGTTGTCTGCCTCTGATTTCTGATGACCCCCAACAGCTTATTAGTTCGCTTATTTGGATAAATATGGATGAAAGTTTTTTTGGGGGGGGGGTGGGCATCTCCTTTCTGTCAGGTCTAGTTCTGTGTGCGGCGGCACCGTTGCCATGGTCAAGAAGACTGAAACAAGTGTTGATACCTCGGCGTCATAACGTTACATCGTCATCTGATAAACAAGACGACATTAAAGGTAAACTAATTTACTTGATTACTTTATGCATTCCTAACCGATTGCAGTTGTTTGGTAAACTATTGCAAATATTTTTCGTGTTTCGTTTCTGGAGCGGGTATTCGCTGACAGACAAAGCCTGTGTTGATAAACAGCTAACGTTAGCTAGCTATTTTTACAGCAAGCTAGCTAATTAACAACGTTGGGCAACCTTATCCCATTCATTCATTTAAGTGTTGACATAACGTGTGATTTGGTTTAACTCATAACCTTCTCGAACTTACATTTTATTAGAAAAATGCTAGAAATACAGTTATTACACCACCTGCAGGCCTAAAGAAATCAGTGGTTAATTACTATCTTGATTTTTGTTAAGTAACACTAACCAATTATTTTTATTTATTACCTAATAATGTTATTTTATTTTATTTTATTTACAATTTACAGCTACAGATGTGTGAGGGACCTTCATCAATATCTGGGCCAATCCCCCCGGATCCTTCTCTGTTTCCTCAGTACTACAAACGACCTGCTTCAGGTTAGATGCAGCCACAGGGCTCTGCTATATTAAAGCCTCCCTTAAAACAGTTGTAGTATTTTCCAGTGATGTTTGGCATTAAATATCACACCAACATGAATTGAATTATTGGAATCATTGTGGATTTTTTAGGAGTTAGTCTGTTAACATCAGTGAGTGTTTCTACCTCAAGTTTTTCTTTTTTTCTCAAGCTCGTGGCCGTTTAGAGGGAAACCACGATGGGACTTTGGCCCTGCTTTCGGGGCCACTCGCTCCAGATCCTGTGTTGTACCCTGGCTGCTACAGTGCTCGTACCCCGTCACATCCTCCCCGTATTGGCCCTAATGCCACCCATATTCTGGAACGAGGACAAAGAGGGGTAGTGGGGGAACTACTCAAACTAGATGGTGTCTCTATCACCCCTGTTCCCAAACAGAGTAAGTCTGCAAAAAAGAGTGGCTCTGAGTTGTCTTGACTGATGATATCAGTATATCTTCTTATTTCTAGTTTTTCTAGTTACAGCAAGAAAGAGAGTTTGATTGAGCACACTAACCACATATAAAAATTCTGAAGTAATTGAGACAACTTTTGCGATTCTTGACCCTCAGAGCAGCGGGTACATGACTTTGGTAAAGAGAATGTGCGTCGGCTCAGGGAGATCCAGAGACGCTGCAAAGAGCAGGAGGCTGAGAGAGCACAGTCTCGTCCGGTTCCAGTCAAAGCTCTTTGGACCTCCTCCAAATACCTGAGTGTCCCATCCAGGGTGATGGTCCAGCTACAGGTGAGGAGCATGTCTGCGAAAGATGGAAATCCTTGAGTGGATATTTCCTCTAGATCACTTTTAATCCAGTCAATTTCTTGCAGGTTTCCAGTCCTACTACTAAACCACAGTGTCAAAACTTTCTGAAGGCCCACTCTAATGGTGGATCTACTGTACTGCCAAGACCCCGCTCCAAAACCTCTCCTGTAGCGTTGCAACAACCGGCCTCTTGCAATTCTACACCGGACCAGAACTTGCAAGTGAGAATTACCAATAAATGTTTACTTATTGATACACACACAAGTTCAGACAATAATAGATATAGATATAGAATAGATATATTTCACCTTTTTTCTGAAGAAGAGTCGGGTTTGCAAGTGTTGTTTTTTGCTCAAAAATGATTTATTATACAGATAACATGACTATGCATTATGCTTACTTTGATGTGTATCTGCAATGTTTATTTTTTGTTTTAATTCTATAAGGTCTTATATGTGGATACTATTACAGGTGCAAGGCCAGACCATAGACTTCATCAAACATAATGCACTGGCTGCACGAAAAACTGTGCTGCGTCGGTCCCAGTCACTGACAAACCTCAGAGATAAACCTGTCCCCAGTGCAGTCAAGGGACAGGTGCCTCAGTAGTGAGTATTCATATGCCATATCTTACCTCCTTGTCTTATAATCATAATCAACTCAAAAGTAGGTAATTTGTTAAAAACAGTTTATTCTTTGCCACAGGTGATTTTGACATTTTTTGCCTGTTTCTGTTCTCCTTCTCATTGACACTTAAACACAATCAGTCTTGAGCAAAGGAAGGAGCAGTGGCAGAAAGAGGAGGAGGAGAGGAGGAGGAACGCACCTGACCCTACAGTCCCAGCTGGTCACACACTGATGCCTGAGAGTGAGAGAGAGGAGACACTGAAGTCCCTCAAAGAGAGTATGTCTCTGTTGCTCTTTATCTCTGGTCTTACATTGGCAATATTGCCTTCAAGTGCTATATGTATAGCGAATATTTTCTTCTCTAATTCAGTTTGAACTTGTTTTGTTTCCTCAGCCTATCGCTCCCTGGTGACTGAGCTGCTGTCGCTGCCTCTCAAAGCTGACAGTCTAAGTGTTCGCTCACGTCGGGCTCATCTTGATTGTAGGCTTTCCGAAGTTGAGGAGGCCATTAAAATATTCTCCAGGGACAAAGTGTATGTAAAAATAGATTCCTAACAGACAAGGAGGATGAAGAGAAGGAAGAGGAGGGGATGATCCTGTAAATACACATTTTCACTTTGTAGTTTTATTGTGTAACATGACACTGAAATTATTTTTGTAAATTGAAAATTATAAACTATAAACTGAGTGATTATTACATAAGGACAACCATTGAGGTTATTTATTAGCAGTTACTTAAAGAACAATATACATGCTGCTGAATAAAATTCAGTTTTCTCTTGGACGGAAAAACATGCAGTACAAGTATCATTAGCGCCTAATTTGTTGAGATGATCTGCTAGAATAGTTTCTACCTTGGCAGCAACTAATGTGGAATCGGAATAAACGAATTTGTTTTGTCTTTGTGTAAAACTGGCTGGTGGTCTGTAATAATGATTTTTTTGTGAAGTCGTGGTATATTTATATTTTTAATTATTGGGTACATGCAATGTGTACACAGTCGAGACGGGCAAGTCTTTCAAAATAAAAAGCTGACGTGTCTATGACGTGTTACGCACGCACCACCCCCTTTTACGTCTTTCGGTCATTGTTCAGGTTGACTAGCTAAGGTGCTAGTTAGAGGCTACACAAAATTTCAAAGACGTTTTAACTTCTCATACATGCACATAAGTCCTTTTGAATTTCCAACACATCCGACTCTTGATAGCTTGTCAAATCAACAATGAGCAAGAGGAAAGCGCCGCAGGAGTCCCTAAATGAGGGAATAACAGATTTTCTTGTCGGTACGTGAAGAGGAGTCAGGCGGTTGAGCTCAGCTAACGATAAGTAACGTTAGCTAGCGTGAGAGCTTGATTGTGTTTTTTATATAAAGTCAATGGTTTTTAAGCAAACGGAGCCTACGGATAACTGCATCAGTAGTATATAGTTGTTTAAAGTATGCTAAATTGTGCCGTTTCTCTTGTTTGTTACCTGGTTTGCTTGGAACTGATGGTCACTTTGTTGTCATTTAAATGTCTCCTGCCTTCAGCTGAGTTGGCTGTTCCTATAATAGTGGCAATAACAGGAGTAGGAGGTAAATATATAGCCATGCGATGTCTTCCTTCTTTTTTCTAGAGCTGGCCAATTACGAGAAAAACGTCAACAGGGCAATACACAAGTACAATGCTTACAGGTAAGCATCTAGTGATAACAAATGAAAGAACACATCAGTGTTGGATTCATAGAGAGCAAACACTCAGTTGCCAGTTTATTGTGCGCAGTTAGCTAAAGCTAATCTGTAGCAGTCTATGAAGCCATGAACACCAATGATCACTTTATATAGAAATTGTTGTAGAGAGATGTTAAATCAGCTATGCTGATTTTGGAGGCTGTTTCAAATAAATTAGTCTACCCTCATTGAAATAAATTGGGGGCACAAAAGCATCTCTCTATAGCAACACAGGTCAACAGACTACAAACTACAGCCTGAAAAAGTTGAAATAACACCTCCAATAGTTTAAACAAAAACTGAAAATTATAAACTTCATGGAAATAGGCTTAACTGCATTCATTTAGCTAGGGTAACCAAATAAACTGGCAACTGAGTGTATAAAACCAGTCATATGGAAAGGAGGGTTGTTAGTAATCATCATGATAAAACTTGTTCATGTAATTGTAACAAAAAAGTTCAGTTGTGGTCTTGATCACTACATTGGTTTGCTACTTTTATATATATATATATATATACATATATATATATATATATTACATCTCATTAATACTTAATATACATATTACAAATGTACTCGCATATTCCCTGTCTAGGAAAGCAGCATCTACCATCTCCAAATACCCTAACAAAATCAAAAGTGGTGAAGAAGCCAAGAAACTGGTATGTGCATTAAATTTGGTTGTTGGTAACTTATAGTGAATTGATCAGATTCACTACATCTTAATCATATTTGAATATATCTCTCTGGATTAAACTTGACCTGGACAGATGACTTGATCCCTACTGCTTTTAGACACTTCATTTCAGTGTAACAGTGCCTAGAAACTGGAAGTGACTCCATTATTATTTGTCTTCCTCCTACGAATGTGCTCAAGTTTGAGTGGTTGTGTGTTGTATGATGCCCTCTGCTGTAGCCTGTTTGTCAACAGCGCCTCTGTACATCTTACGTAACTGCTGCATTTCGCACTATCCAGTATCCCCATGTTTGTTTTCACATTTCAACAGGATGGTGTTGGAGCTAAAATAGCAGAAAAGATTGATGAGTTCCTACAAACGGGCAAACTACGGAAACTGGAAAAGGTGAGTCTTGGGGCGTGAAAAGATGAACCTGATGCCACACTAAATCTGTGTTGGATAACAGCTTAATTCTAACACCTTACACAGACTGCGCTACTTTTTATTTTTTAGATACGAAATGACGACACCAGCTCGTCCATCAATTTCCTCACCAGAGTTACTGGAATTGGGTATGTCTTTAAGTGTTACTTAATCCAAATTAAAAATGTATTAATATGTTATATGGACATTCACAGTGGAATGCATCATGACTACTTAACATGCAGTGTGTGATCAATTCAGGGGGTTCTCCATTGGAAGGCAGGAATTTTCTGAGATTTATTTCTTCATGTAGATTTACTGTACATGCTTCATGTAACAAACTGCATCTTTGGGTCTTAAATCTAGCCCCGCTGCTGCCAGGAAGTTTTTTGAAGAAGGTGTGAAGACGTTAGAAGGTTTGTTTAGCAGCTGACGCATATTGCAATTGTTCAAATAATTTAATTAATCTTATTCTTCGTCCGCATGACTTTATTTTATTTGGCGTACAGTGTATTGCATGCTCAATAAATGTTGTGCACATTGTACATTTAGTAGTAGTTGTTGTCATTACTTCAAGTGAGCAATGTTTTTTTGCTGTATGTTTAGATCTGAAAAAAATTGAGCACAAGCTAAACCATCATCAACAGATTGGACTCAAGTAAGTTTGGCTGAATGCTCTTAGTATGTTTTTTCTAAATGTGTAATTCATCAGTGTCCTAAAGTCTTCCTCCATTGATACATGAGCTGTGAATAATGGATTGTCTTGTTGCCTTCAGGTACTTTGAGGAATTTGAAAAAAGGATTCCACGAGCTGAAATGGAAAAAATGGAGGTGATGAAGTATCTACATGTTTCTATTATCTTCAGATTAATTTTATTTTGGGTTTTCTTACATTGTGTTCTTTGTTTAGACTCTTATCCTTGGAGAGTTGAAGGAGATCGATACAGAATATATTGGAACAATCTGTGGAAGCTACAGGAGAGGTAACACTTTCCCTTCAAATTTAGTGCAGTTGATTTTCAGCTAATTATAGGAGTTCAAACTCTGGTAATCATGATATTGATTCGCATGTTCATAATTTCCAGGTGCTGCATCAAGTGGTGATATTGATATTTTGCTGACCCACCCAGACTACACCTCTGAGTCTGAGAAGCAGGTAAGACTCTTCCCAACTGTAGTTATCTCTGCAGTGTGTTGTAGTTAATTGCAGTTTCTTTTGTCTTTTTACAATACATTTTGTTCCATTTATCTGCTTTTCCAGCCCAAGCTCCTGCATGCAGTGGTTGAACATTTGGAGTCCATTGGGTTTGTGACAGACACTCTGTCGAAGGGAGACACCAAGTTCATGGTGAGGCCTGTGCTTATTTTCTCTTGTCTGCTCAGCTGTATGTGTTTGATGCTGTGACTAGTAACACACTTAATACAGTAACTATACAGAACCCATAAAGCGCATGATTGTTGTTCTAGGGAGTCTGCCAGCTGCAGCAGAGTGATGAAGATGAGGAAGAATACCTTCACAGGCGTATTGATATCAGGTGCCCCACTTTATTTATTTATTATATATATATATATATATATATATATATATATATATATATATATATATATGAGAGTCCACATGTAAATAATGCCATATTGCACATAGTCTCTCTTAATCTTTTGTAACTTGTATGCCTTGTTTATTTCATATTTTTATGTTTATATTATGTTTTGCTAGAATATTCTTTATCATGACATATGTTTGAGGGTATCAAATATGTGATCTTCCAATTAAAACAAAGCCTCTACTTACGACAATACCAAACAGGCTCAGTTACATACATTTGGATATACGTCAAACACAGTAAAGAGGCAACCTTATGTTTGTATTTCTTCTCTTCGTTTGTTCCTGCTCTCTAACTGTCCTTTCTCCATTCCCCCAAGGTTAATTCCCAAGGATCAGTACTACTGTGGAGTTCTGTATTTCACTGGAAGTGACATCTTCAATAAAAACATGAGAACTCATGCTCTGGAGAAGGGCTTCACTCTTAATGAGTACACCATACGACCACTTGGGGTCACAGGTGAGTGACAGTTAAAAATGACATATGAACTTGCTGAACTGTTTTCCAGCCCTTTGTGACTTCTGTCATCAGTGAGTAACCAATTTGTGCTTTCATCTTTTAATATCTGCTAATTTTCTTTGTGGGTGTGTTGTAGGTGTGGCAGGCGAGCCTCTGTTGGTGGATAGTGAGAGAGACATCTTTGAATACATCCACTACAAATACAGAGAGCCAAAGGAGCGCAGCGAGTGAAGCAAAGGACAGCTGACAGTTAACGTCTGTATTTGAAGCTACAAACAAGATCTGGTGCATGTGTAAAATGTGTGTTTTAGTGTGTCACTCTTTTATACCGTTCAGTTATACCGTTTGTTTTGGACAGGTTTTCTTAAGTTGAAATCATCACCATTGATGCTCTGCAACAAAATTGTTATTTTATTTTGACCTTAAGTTTAATTCTTCATGGTCATGTGTCTTTGTGAAGGCTTTTGGGCACCATTTTCAGTTTGCAAGTCATGCTCAACAATAATTTATTTGTACTTTATTCATCTCACTTGTACATTTCATTCTTAATATACCAAAACAAAAAAGGATTATAACCTGAGATGAGTAATCCTAATGTTTGCTTCTGTTACAGGACAACTCTCATCAAGGCATTTTGACAGTAGTGTCCTTTAACGCTTTAGCTAAGTGGTTGCAAGGTGTAGCTATAGTTGGTAAATATGCAGACAACACAGCAGTATCACTTCTATATCTTATTTTTTTAGTGTGTTTTTAAACTTGGAAACTTTCTCAAACAATATGAGCAAACTAATGAATTAAAAAGAAGAAATACAATGTTGCAAACAGTATTGGTTTCTGGTTATAGACACTAATTTGGGATAAAATCATCATGGATTTATTGAGACAAATGAGAATATACATCTTCCTCGCTTGTGGATCGATGTGTGAATATGGCTGTTACACTGGTAGACTTGAAGAATCTAGTGTATTTGGTTGTGTGAAAATTATGACTGACTGTTACAGTAGATCTGGACATTGTTGTATCTTTTGTTGTGCTTTTC